TATTTATAAAAATATTTCATACAATATACTTCAAGGGAATTAATTAAGTAATAGATTGAATCTATTCAATTACTGATATATATATATATATATATGAGAATTTATTGATAACAAAGAACAAGTAAAATTATTATATTAGAGAATGGATAAAAATAGGTGATAAGATATGAAGGCCATGTGCTAAAAGAAAAAAAAAAAAGAAAAAAGAAAAGGAAAGAGGTTGCGAGATGTAGAGGATAGGTGGATCAGAGGATGGTGTTGCAGGCCACAGAAGAATGCAATGGGAGGAGAATTGAAGAATTGAAGAACGCGCTCATGGAGATGGTTGAGCATGGGGGTATATATAGAATTGTCAGCAATATAAACCACATTGTTGAAAGTTTAGCACCATATCAGCAACATATTCCATGCTGTTAAAATTTATTTAAATTTCAAATCTCACTACTCATCATCGTGTATCATGTAACTAAAACTTAAAACTACCAATTCTACCGTCACACTACCGAATGATTAAAATTATTATATTTTAATTAATTCTTATTGTTAAAAAAAATTCATTTTTATATTTAAAATTTAATTTATTAGTAGGTTTTGTTTAATCTATTAAATTTTATTTAACAACGACATATTAATTAATATAATTACATTATTTATTAATATATTTAAATAATTTAAAACTTTATTTTGTCTAAAAAAATATGTGGATATGCATATGAGGCCACATAGACATTAAGAGACAAAGAACATAGATTACAAAGGGAGAAATTGGTATCTATAATGGCAGAAGAATGGTGTATATATAATGATCTTGTACAACTTTCAATCAATGAAATTGATATGTAAATCTTAGTTTCACCACCAACTGATCAATTCATTTTCAACAACGTGAGTTTTGTTGGTAATGTATAGTTTTAGCAATATGATATATGTTGCTAAAGTTTTAAATGACCAAAAAATTTTAGCAATATAAGTTATGTTGCTAATACTTGTTTTCAATAATATAACTCTTGTTACTGATTCTCATAATATCGGCAACATGAGTCTTGTTGCTAATATGTAATTTTGGCAACAATATATATGTTGCTAAAATTTCTAGGTGACTAAAAAATTTTAACAACATAAGACATGTTAATAATGCTTGTTTACATTAACATAACTCTTGTTGCTGATTCTTATAGTATCAACAACATAGATCTTGTTGTTAATGTGTAGCTTTAGCAATAAGAGTCTTGTTGCTAAAGTTTTAGGTGGTTGAAAATTTTCAAGAACATAATCCATGTTATTGATTTTTGGTTTTAACAAGATAACCCTTGTTGTTGATTGTGAATGCCACTTTTGGGGGGAAGGTTCTGTACAAACTATCAGTAACAAGAATCTTGTTACTGAAAATTTATATCACCAACAAAGAAATTCATGTTGCTAATAAATGGTTGGTAAAACTAGGAATTTTAATAGTGTGAATCTCTTATGATACTTATACAAAATTTTAACTATTCTTTTCTTTTTTTACATTTAATAATTGAAATTCATCACAGCTTTTTAAATAAAAAATAATTATTTTTAATAAATATAAATAAATTTTAACTATTGAAAATTAAAAAGTAAATAGTTGAAATTTTACATAAGTATAATATGAAAAAAATTGTGTGTAATACTTATATGTAAATGAATATTTACTTATATATGTATGTATATATATACATGTACATATTACATATACATGCTTAATGATATATTGACAATTTGTGGTAGATGCGTATTGGAAATGAAAACTAGACCAATACCAAACCTGATAATCGAGGGAGGATTGGGACTGCTGGTCTTGTTGGTGAAGGGATCCCGAAATATCGCAGAGTGAAGCTACCTATAGAGATGACATTTTGATATAATTTTGGCTTTTAGTTTTGTGTTATACGCAAACAATTTCAAAGGGCATTAATGCTAATTAATTTTAAAAAATCTAGCTATCATGTAGAACAAAGAATCCATTTGATGAGGCAAGCAAATTCCTCTCTTTCGTGCTATGTATACCCTCTCTAGGGAAATATGTCTTTGGAGAGTCTACCGTAACTTTAATTCTCTTTTTGTTTAAGGTCGGTTAGAATTTATAAATTAGTTTCTTTTTTAATTTTAAAAAATATTCCTAGATCAAGGAAACATGGTGATCAATCCACCTTTTTTCTTTTAAATGAGAAATGTTAGCCACAGCGGTTTTTTTTTTTTTTAACTAGGACAATTGAAAAATAGAAAATGAAATTGTCTAAATTTAAACTTAAATTTATAAATACCATCATTTTAATTTCTCAAAAGAGTAAGAATCGTGGCTATTGAATCAAAATGGTGGTGGTTAGCGTTAACCACAACTATTTTATCTGCACTATTCTTCAACATTTATGCAGTGATTTGCCATATATGTGTGGATGATTTTAAATTTAAATAATTTAAATTGCCACATAAATTAATAATAAATAAATAAATGCCATGTGCACCTGATTCTTCAGATATAGTGGTATTAGCTATGTTAAATAGATGCACCTCTTTTTTTTGGGTGAGTTCCGTCTTATGTTAAATTGTTAAAAATAAATAAATAAATAAATAAAAATAATGTGAATTGATGACATCGCGAGTGTTGATGATGAATGGTGCTACATCACTGGTACTTCTCTTTTCAAATATGCAATAAG